GCCGTTGGGCCAAGAGGCTGTTCATATACACACATATGACTTCCCTGCAGAGCCGTTGGCGAAAGCGCCTCTACCAGCTTGAGAAAAAGTTCGGCTTCTTCACAGAACCGGTGGAGGCGACCACAGAGAAAGAATGGGAGTCTGTGGTGCGGAAAAGGGTCCGCGAACAGGAGAATGTGCAGTGGCTGGAGGCTGCCCGGACAAAGTCAACCCTTACCATGTATGCGGAGTTAAAACAGCAAATCACGGCAGAGACGCGGCTGTACGACAACAGCTTGGGCAGCCGCCTATTGTTCGAGGCTCGTGCTGGAGCCCTGCGCACACTGGTGTACAAACAGCGCTTCGACAATAGTGTGCAGTCGACTGTATGCCGAGTATGCGAGGGTGAGAGCGAAACCGCAGAGCACATCATACTCCGTTGTGGCGGAATCCGACCTTCTGCCACTTCTGCCACCGAAGAGGCGAACCGACTACACGAAGGTGTCCCGCCTCTAGCGGCAGCGTTGGGCTTCTCGTCAACAAGCGAGGCAGCCAATACTACTGAAGCCTTTTGGAAGACCATCGAGCAGACGAAAAGACAACTGGAGGATTGGTGGCATCATACACAACACAGGGGGCGCTGAATTCACCCCCAGGCTTGGGCACGATTATTTGAGCACGCCCGTTATAAAGGGAGCAGCCGCAGTATCATCATCGTCATTATCATACTCTCACCCGTTGTCTGCCGCTCTACCTTTTCACTGTCGGCGGCCGCGTTTCGTGGCGATCCATAGAGAAATATAGTACTACGCAAAGAGCGTACACTTCCATAGGCCCCAGCGGCCAAATTCAGTGTCAGCGAGCGCGCTTAGCGGCCAGTATAGTCCCTAGTTAAGTGTTGAATGGATGGATAAACGCAGTAACCGCTGGCCAGATGAATGAATGGATTCCAGGCGAATTTTGGCGGTATTTTTGTATCGGGCAGTAGCATGCGCCTTCTAGTTTAACGAGTCAATGTTATTGTAACTAGCATGCTTTTTGTTTAAAATAGGTTTGTTTTATAAGTATACCTTATTTGTACTGCAGAAGAAAAGTCATCCAGCGCTACATATAATTCAAGCTGACCGCACACCGAAAAAGATATTTTCACATTTGTGCTAACACTCTTGAAGGGACGACACCAGGGATTGACACACAAACGTATTTATTTTTGTAACTATGACAAGTAAAACAAACATCAACTCTGAAGACAATGAGTGACGTATGTTATTCATACATTACAAAAATAAGAATATACATGCAAAATGTATGAATAACGCGTCAATGGTGCAACACTGGAAACAAAGTATTGTGTTACAGCGAGACTTACAGAGACAAATGCAATATGATGGAGGACATTTAAAGAAATTACAGTCAAAGTTTCATGAAAAGCGTTGCACATATGACCATTTGACTAATGCAGTAACAATAGAGGAATAATCCGGCCCAGTGGCTTCTAAATTCAGTGACCGAATGCAAATGTCCGTCAACAAAGAAACTACAGTCACAGTACTTCTTACGTATACCATGACCACCACGAGAAAAATAGACAACTGAATGTCTAAATGAGGATGCAAATGGTACAGACTATTGACCTAGTCGTTCAGAATGACCCCAACAGATGCCGGGAATGCAGTACGCACTGCCCAAATAAACATCTCTTGCTCTTACTGACTAAATCAATGATTGAGATCAAAATAGCAAGAACTGGAGACAAATGGACAGCCTAATACAATGGCATATGCTAATAGAGTATGGGAATGAGGACTCCTCCATTCAACATGACCATGATGCGAAAACCCAACATGTGATAGAAATGGTTGCCATTAGCACACTGGGTCTCTGAGACCTACTCATCAAAAATAATCCCAACAAATGCTTGGCGTGAACTCTGCACCACCCAATCAAATACACCTCCCTTTTCAGAAAGCTTCACTTCCGTGTAAATTAGGAATCATGATCATAAGCGATAAGAACTGTCATCCAAGAATGGTGACCCAATAATATATATGTCGGTATAAAAATGAAAAGGAGGTCTTTCACATTCCATTGACTTACAATTAAAGAAACAGTTACAGTTTTAAGAAATTTTTGGGGTGCAGTCTGCACTCCCGAATTAAATACACTTAGCGCTTGTATAATCAACAGATATCTCAAAAAAGCATCATTAAGGCTTCAACACGTATCTCAAATATGAGGTAAGCGTTTGTAAGGATTATGTTGTTTCAACACGTATATGAAACAAATACCTTTAGCCCAATCTTGATCGAGTCCTACAAAAATGTAATTTTTCATGCAATTCGCTACTGGCAACCAAAATATCGTTAAGATCACTTTCTACGACTATTCACCACAGAGTACTTAGGGCGAAGCGGAAAGTTTCCAGTTGCATTCCTTACGAACAGATAAAAAGCCTTTTGCAGTCATAAAACTTGATTTGATCAAACATTATGTTTTCTGGCCCATAGACTTTCACAGCTGAACTGTGCATCCAGTACGCTGTTAAAACAAACACAAAAGGAGACCTTAACTTACCTGTCGTCCAGGGAAATTCGAGAAAACTTCGTTCCCGGCTTCTTTCTCGCTCTTTCATTGTTTCAACACCAGGCTACGCAGCAGCAGCTGCCGTAGCCAAACATCCCGGTGACGATGCTATGTAACACATTTAAAACCATTTGTCACCGTAAAATTACAAAAACTGGTACCTATACTTTCTAAACTTTTTGGAAAAATATTTATTCTTGCGACCGTAAACTGTGGCCTAGTTAGCATTGTAGGGTCGTGATGCAAGGAAGTACAACGGTACATTCGAAGTTAACATACGCAAACTGTAACAACCTAGCACCCTTACTTGCATACCGCACAGTAATATCGCGATTTCGGCAAGTTAGCGTCCAATGCGCGTAAGCGTGTAAACCTAACTTTGGCAGACTTGCAATTAAACGACCTTGAGGAGACAAACGGAGCCATGGCGGCAGCCAGATGTCTGAAATCACGCATATCTTCAATTTGAAACCGTTGTACCACTCGCCAGTTCCAAACAGTTCAAAGTAGAAAAAGCGGGTACCATGGATCGGCGTACTACGCCACTTGCAAAGAAATACACTCCAAACCCCACAATAACAACACACAAAATACGGGTTGAACAATACGTCTCACTTTCACCTCAACGGAAGGATGACTAGAAACCCGCACGAGACGGGACCAACTCAACCGACAGAACGAGGCAAGAGACACAGACCAAGCAGCCGAAGTATCCGCCCTCCGTGGAGTCCACGACTCCGAAGCCAACCGTCGCGCCACAGCCGTAGCCACAGCCGTTGAAGTCGTCTTTGAAAGTTTTCAAAGTTCAGGATAATTTTAAAAATTTACTCTATACAACGAAGTTATTTATTAATATTATATATCTGACAAATGTTCAGAATGAGGGGCACTGTTGCGCCTAGTAGAGTCCCTAACTCCTGAGCCGCGAAACGGCTTGAGTGGTCACTCTTTACGTAGTACTATATTTCTCTATGGGCGATCTGCGAGGTTTTGTAAGTATTAGCGGCGAGATGTTTTAGTGGCGCCCTCCTATGGTTCCCTTTCGTGACGTCATTACCTTGCGAACAACAAGTTCGACGGTGTTTGTAATTAGCATGGTGGAAGCTTGAAATCATAGCGCTCTCAAAGCAACACTGCCAAAACCGTCAAGAATAAAGTTCTTACATTCCTCTTATTTCCGTCGATGATAAATCCCTTGCTGATGTCATAGTCAGCATTCGGCCAATCGTGGAAGGCCGACTACAGCGACGCTTTCGATCGCGCACGTCGCCAATAGAGGAGGCTATGCCTCAAACACGTGCAGCATGCACATGGAAGTACTACCAGTACTACCTTTGGCAGGCTTGCAATCACTCGTTTTTACTTCACGAGCACCGAGAGACTGTAAGCCTGCCGAAGGTACGTCGCGGATAATATAGAAAGGCCCAGGGGGAGCGCGTGGCTTATAAGGCCTGCGGCGATATCTATAAGAAGAAATCGCAACCTTTATTCAAGCTTCAGCGGCTGTTCAGTGTTGTCGTCACTCACTCCACGCTTGATCGGCTGTTGATGAATTAATTCCGATATCAGCACCGATTGTAAAAGCGCTCCAAAAAAAAAAAAAAGAAGAAAGCAAACTCAAGCACGGCTAAAACCGCCGGGTTGGCAAGTTGAGCGATCAGTTTTCAAGCCTTTGATAAGTTTGCGAGTAAAGAAAAAACAAAAACAATAAGTATTTTGTTTAATATTATTTTATTAGGCACGCATGCCTGATCAAAATTATCAGCTTTGAAATCGGTGTTGACGCAACAATCATTTACCGCTAACAAAGTGGAGAGTAACGACCAAAATCGAAGAGCCGCTGAAATGCCACTCGTACACACGATAGCCTCGATGATAGCTCAGCTTTCTTCCGTTAGATAGCCCTGAAGGCCTTGATAGAAACGCGCTCGCGTCGGCTTTTTTATATCATCCACGACAGTAGCATTGCGTCGGGGTCGGTTGTTCGTGTTTGTCGCTCTAATGGGACTCGAGCATAACCGACATGTTCGCACGAGTATCGTCGTATTGCGATCGATGACGTCCCGCCCGCACATAAGCTTCAGTCAAACTGAAAGTGCCGATACCGTCAGATCCCGTCAACCGAGAGAACGCCGACGGGGAATACGGAGCGCTTTTCCGGGCGAATGGACGCCGTCCTCCCTGTGTCCCTCCCAGTTCCCTCGCGGTCCCTCGCACTTTCGACGACACCAAGCGTGCGGTAGCAGGAGTGCCGTCTGAGGTTTTTCGCGTCGGGAAGCACGGGGATCAAATAGGCCGACACACGGAGGCGATCGTCGAGGTGTAAACCTCGCCACGTCGTCGATCTTTAACGGCGTTGCGACGAGGACGCTACGGCACCGATCGAGCGCGTCAACCGAGCTCTTGATACACTTGCCTGTTTTTGTTTCTCTCGCCAGCTTCTGCAAGATCAGCAGCTGATCGCGCTGGTCTGTCTGCTCGTCGTCATCGACTGCGCCATCGTCACCCTCTGGGTCATCTTCGACCCGATGGAACGGACGCTGAGGAACCTGACTATGCAGGTAAGCACAAACCTCATCTACGCTGCCGTTTTAAATGCGACAGCATTTCTGAGCGAATTCTTCCCACTTTTCATGTCCGTCAGCGCATGGTAACCAACGGAGAGAGAAAAAAAAAAGTCTGGCGAAAGGGGAAATACTAAGGACGTAGCCAGAAAGTTTTTTCGAGGGCTGAGGTGGCTGGGATGTCTATGACTTGGGGTCCAGAGAGGGGAAAAGGGGGGGGGGGGGGGGGGGGCAAAATGCATGTGAATTTCGGTGGGGGGGGGGGGGGGGAGGGGAGGGGAGGCGAGGCTTCCGTGGGGAGATTGGGAGGCCGTAGCCAGGAAGGCTGAAGCCCCACAAGCCTCCCCCCTGATTACACCCTGATTACGCCACAGGGCAGGTCACCTTCATAACTAGAATTTCGCGTTTTCAGAGTTAATTTCTCGCGAAATTTGGAGGGTGTTTTTCGGAGTTTATTTTTCGCTGTGGATTCGGGGTTTATCGGAATTTATTTTTGTTAGGTTCTCAATTCTTTAAAATTCCAAATTTATTTTACTGCATAAAATGTAAAAAAAAAAAAAATTAAAAACAAAATAATTAAGGTCTGTGTACCATCACCCGTTGTCCCGAACGAACCTCGACGTGCTAAAAAGGCAAACCCCTCTTGTCGGTAGTTCTAGATTTCAAAGGAAACAAGCTCAGTTGGTCTCCTCGAGACCAACTGACGTTGTGCTTTTACAGATTTTTGGTTCTAAAGCTCCATCTTTCTTGCTGTTTATTTTGTCATTGGGACCTCGAAATTCGGAGGTTTTCGGATAAATCCGATTTGATAAAAAATTTACCGGAGAGTATTTTTCAGATTTATCCGAAAACACGGAACCCTATTCATAACCAACAAAGCAGGCGGCGTGCATTTGTTATACACCTCCTTGAATCTTTTTTGCAAAGGGTCAAGCGCCCAATGAATGTGATTGATGTATTAGCTTCTGGGCGGCAAATACAGTTACCAAGGGTTCTATTGTGTGTCTATGCACATCATGTTTATATCAGTATACTAAGAGGGAAGCATTTCAAATGCAGTAACACTACAACAAAAAGTCGTTGATTGTTCACGAGAGTCCAACACCTTCTAGAAACTAAAGGTTGCGCACCCGCCCCGTGACATCACTGTAGCTAGGCTATGCGGAAAGCAAGTCGTCTCGTTCTTGCGCAGGGGGCTTCGGTGGCGTCAGAACGACGCCGAATTTTTATTGGCTTTGATTAGAAGGATAGTGGATAGACGTCAATGCTTGGCGCCTTGAGGATTATCCACTATTTTTTTCTCAATCAGCCAATAAGAGCTCGGCGCTCTAAAATTATCGCAACCCCTGGGCAAGAACCGGACCAACTTGCGCTCCGCATAGTGAGCGGAAAAGCGACAGTCGGCTGGGCACTGGAGTTTGCTGCGCCGATGCGCTGTAGCTTCGATTGGAAATATTATACGAATGTTACTTGCCGTGCGTGAAGACGACGTAATTGAAAAAATTGCAGCTTTTATAAATAGAAGTCTATATATTACTCTGACGTTTATGGTTTGCTACAAAGTCACGACGACCGAAAACACCCATGGTAAATATTAGCGCCTAGAGCCCTTTCCACGATTATTTGACCTGATCTCCTTCCTGAGACTAAAGTGGTGCTCTGCAATCGGAAATATTTTATTTCACAATTTCGCTTAACGTCCGATTAAATTATTCGTGCATATAAGAAAGCGCAGGATCGCAGCGCATTTATTGTACGCGATTGGTTCAGTCGTTGTAGCAGAAGCACAAGGGCGATAAACGCCGAGGCGATACATTTTTGGCGCTGTTTGTTTTTCTCCTCCATCGTACTTTAGTGTCGGCTGCGGTCACACAAAGTTAAATGGAGCACAGGAGCATTGACATCGACAGGGAACACGGCTATTCTTTAAGACTTTCGAGGCCCATTGCTGCTCGAAAGTGCGCGCGGTTATGTATGGACGACACACCGACGAACGGAGCGGCCGCTGAAGTGACGTGTCGGCGGTTTTCCAGGCGAACAATTAATGCATGTGATGTCACAAACAACGGAGATAGTTCAAGTGCGATGGTTCATTCAAGTTCATTACGCTGGCCGCAACGGGGAAGGGGAAAAAAAAGAAAGCCGGAAGACACCTAAGCACTTCTAATAAGTTGTGAATGCGAAAGCATGAATGTCCAATGAAACGCCGCGGAGTGATTTGCGGAGTTTTGTGGCGCGAGCAATGTTTTCGAGTTGTGGCAGAAGCACCGCCGACGATGTGGATGATGGAGGTGAGGGCAGGTTGGTCGGCGGCGAAACGAGCAGAAGCCTCCGAACGCGCACAAACGTGTTCGTTTTAACCGGCGCGGGGGCCGTAGTGGCATAAGGTTGCGGCGGCTAGTTTTATCAGCGCGCTGGCTGATGATGATGATGATGATGGTTTGCGGCTGTTCCCTTTTGAATTGGGCGGTCCCGTAGAGTTTGGGACCTAGCCAGTGGGGATTTGGTTATCCCCGTTGGTGAACTAGCATCCACCAGTTCTCTAGCCTTCGCTTCGTGGCTTCCACCTGCTCACGCCACCCTCCGTTGGTTCTCGGTGTAGCGTCGGTGTTGTTGTTGCCGTTAGTTCCACCCGCAGAGTCTGCCACTGAGCTGGAAGCAGACCCGAAGCCCAGTGCCTCTGCCAGTGCGAGCTCCCGGGTTGCCTGTCCACACTCCGCCGGTTGAACTGGTTGCAGACCGGTGCACGACAGCACAAGGTGTTCAATTGTCTCATCCGCCTGACCACACACACGGCATGCTGCAGATCCCACCGTCTGGTCGAAGCGACGGCGATACATCTGCGTTCGCAGCCCTCCTGCGCGTGACTCAAAGAGGAGCCGGCTGCCCAGGCTGTTGTCGTATAGCCTAGTCTCTGCCGAAATGTTGTGCTTATATCGATGGTACATATATAGCGTCGACTTGGACTTCGCCGTTTCTGGCCCCCGAGCTGCCTCCTCCTTTCTCACCCTGTTTCGAATCTCCATTTCCCACTTCCTGTTTGATGTGATAGTTACAGGGGTTGAAAAGAAGCCGTATTTCTTCTCTAACTGATACAGCCGCTTCCTCCAGCCAGTCTGCATCCCCGTGAGATATGTGTAGACGAAGAGTCTCTTGGCCCACCGGCCGCGGTCCATGAGACGGAGACGACTGTCGTAGGTTATCTTACTGGTCGCCTCCCTGGCCTCAAACGACGACCACCCAAGATCTCCCTGGACCGCTTCGGTGGCCACCATTCCGTGACAGCCCAGAGCCTGTCTCCCGACCTCTCGTTGACGACGTTCCATTACTTCCCGCACTGTGCCAGGGACACAAAGAACCGCGTTTGCGAAGGTTAGTCCAGGCACCACAACCGCCTTCCAGAGTTCGCGAGTCACCAGAAAACGATTGCAACTCCAAAGATTACGTTTTCGGAGCACATTCGTACCTCGCACGGCTGCCTGTCGGAGGTGGGTGTAATGATCGGACAAGTACTCCGGCTTGTTGGTCAGTACAACTCCCAGGTATTTGTACGACTCCTGTACCTGTGCTTGCTCGCCGTTCAGCACCAGTCTGGCGGCATGGACACGCAGCGCCATCTGGCGGCGGTCGTTGAAACTGACGCGCGCAGCGGCCCATGGGAGCCTTGTCGCCGCGCGCCAGCCAATGGGACCTTTCAGATCAGGGAAACTAGGTGCCGTTTCCGCGCTTCGAACTGATGACGTCGCTCGCTCCATGGGACCCAGTTAATGTTTTCGCATTAAAAACGTGCAGGGGCTGTAGACGCCACCCACGGGCTGTATGGGAAAAATAAATCCCCCTTTTGTGGGATTTTTGAGGGCCTTTGAGGAATACAACAAAAGCGACTGCTCCTTGGCTTCGCTTTCTCCTTGTGTATAAGATACCCGATAAGCGAGGAGCGCCTCCCGCTCCGGTTCGTGCGCTGCGGGCCGCTGAAAGTTGAAATATTTTAGACCCGCGTTACTTTCGCCCAGTGGAACCCGAAGTTTACGTCACGGGTGACACCACTCGAAAAAATATCCGTGCTCCGGTCCCGCACCCGCCACAAAGCGCATTGCTGTTGGGTTTGGACCGCCCTGTAGAGAGTTAAACAAAAAATGTGAGATGGTTTTATTTTTAGACGTTGTAGACTCCAAGCAGACTTCTGCTCGTTACTTGAAAAATGTAATAGATTACAATTACAAATTAACAAGCCTCAAATGTAATGGATCACCGTTACAAATTACTTTCGCTGAAAAGTAAAAAGTAACGGATTACTTTACTCGTTACGTTACTAATTACTTTTACGTTACTTTTTCCGTACACTTATCTAGAAAACTATAGGAACCATTTTGATATTGTTTAAAAATGTTACGCAACACTACTTTTCTCATACGCCCGAATTTTGATAGTCCTTGTAAAAATAAAATACTGTGTTTAAGAGACACAGTGTAGGTGCATTCCGTTCACCTGTAAGCTGACAGGGCACCGAAAGCTGCAACCACACCCGCCATCCCGCTAGCTTACGGCCTCCGGAAATGATCCCTGGAATTGCGCAGACAGAGCTCGCGGTGCGCATGCTCAGTAGCAGCATCTACCTCCGATACGAGATTCAGCTAAAGAAGCGATCTACGAAAGCTCCCTTTTGACTCGGGTGTTTCGCCTGTTATTCACAAGAAAAGGAAAACTTGGTTCTAACGTTACATTGTATATGGTCAATGCAGAATTCAGGTGTCCCAGCTTACCTTCATGTGTTTCCGTAGATTAGAGCTTGTTGTTCTTGCTGATGACAATATGTTCCGTGGCAAGCAAAGTTTGCACTGAAACTCTAAGTTTCCGTTCGCCATAATGCCCTGAATTTTGAACATCTCATAAAGAGATGGCCATGGAGACGAAGGACACTTCGTGACCGAAAACTCGATCAGTCAGAAAAAAGTGGCGGTTAGGGGTTCTCACTTTCATACTATCGTTCATCGGTTCTCACTTTCATACTAATATTCGTAGAGGCCAAGGGAGGGGATGGCATAGAGACCGAGAGAAGCGGTGGCCATCGGTTCCACAAAACAATAGAGGATCACACCATTTTTACGCGCGCTGTCTCCCTCTCGCTCTCTCTGTCAGCACTTCTTAGGTGGCCTAACCCCTCCCCCCCCTCCCCCCTTTATGTTGACATTTGACTGTAAAGTGATGAGTGGGCTCAACCACTGTACCCAGACAAGAAAACCAAAAGAAGTATCGTTCTTAACCTCGAAGATCATGCTCTTAGCCTCGCGCTGGGCGCTTTTCATCCGTGCCTCAAGAGCGTGCTAGAATTCATTAGCGCTGATCACAGACAAAGAGAATTTGATTCCCTCGCGCGAGGTTACATCGTCTGTTACGCGAGTTGTGAACCCGCAAATTTAGAGGGTACGGGCCCGCGTTTGATGTCTGTGCTGGTGGCGGGAGACGTCGAAGAAGTTGGAAAGGGTGAAACGGTGTAAAAGATAAAACCAAATAAACACGAAGAGCTTTCCCTGCCCGGGCGAAGAAGAAAAACACGATGGAAGGCGACGGAGAGCCTACTTGGCGTTGTCTTAATTGAACTTTGTCTTTCGTGTATTTGTACATGCCTTGCCGGTTTTTTTGGTGGTTCTGGTGAGCGGTCATTCAAAAAAATCGTGTTTTCTTTTTGGCTATATTCTCCCCTTCCTGATGTTTTCTATGTTGTTGAACTTGCTCCCTTTATGCTGAATGTTCTGCTCGAAATGCTCCAGTTACTGCATTATGCTCATATTTTAAGAAGTAACGAGTAGTTAAAGTAATCCAATATTTTGCAACGAAATTACATTACAAATTACTTAAAAAAATTACGTGGCAATTACAAAATTACTCTAAAAAGTAACGGATTACTTGCCAAGTCTGACTCCAAGTAAAGGAAAACGTACCATTTTCTACCAAGTTGGACTGAAATAACGCTCTCACTGAAAAAACGTGTCCAGTAAGTATGGCATCGACTTTAAATCCGGGGTCAGAATGCTCACACCATCATACAAAAGGCAATCTGCAAGCACGAGTCACCGTAATATCTGTGATCCGAATACCGCGTGCCAAGCTTTCTCCTTGAACTTATTGCCATGCGGCTTTTGATCGAAGCATGAATTTCGCGGTGAATCACGTTCAACTCTGTATGCAGACTGTCTTTTGTATAGCGTATAAGCAGTGTAACCCCAGCTCACGGTGTAAGATAATACTCTTCAGGTGAGGACAGCCCGCTCCTCGCGACGTGCCGATAAAGTTCGCTCTGATACTTTACTAGGGGGAATACATTCCACTCTGCTCATTTGCATTAGACAGAACGCCTACAGCGCCAAATACATCTCTGACGGAGGGGAGATCCGCGTCAGTCCACGCGCAAGTGCACGTGGATGTTCGCGGCGGCCGCGGCGGTGTCGTCTCCGATTCCACCTAAAGCCCCTTCATGTTTCAAAAGTAGCGCAAGGTGCGTCGATGCACGAGGCAGGTGCAACGTGCAACCCTTGGGAAGATCATGGCGGCACAGCGCAGCGAAGTATTTTGCACACCACTGAGCTAGAAATTTAGACGCCATAATATTCTTAGAAGCGGCGCGCGGCACGTGTCTCGCACATTTCCACAACAATGAATTTGGTATGCAGAACAACCATCATCAATATCATCATTTACTGCCCGATAGCCGAGAGCTCCCCGACGATAGATGGCTCTCGCCAAGCCCAGAAAACCTGTCCGCGCCGAAGCTATTGTATTTGAGAGGAGTGCAATGTCTTCCCCCTAGTAAAGTAGTTGGTTCGCTTTCACTCTCTCTCTCTCTTTCTCTCTCACTATGGTTTTAAGCGGCGCCGGCAGATGACTCGTCGACCTGTGGGCACGGTGTAAGACGCAGGAGCACCATGCCCCAGCTTACATGAAAAAAACTGCCTCCTCGTTTATAAGTGGAATCCACTTACAATCAAAAGCGTAGTTCTAATGGACAGAGGTCTGAAAATAGCTGGAGTGGTTCGTGGCCTAAACCCCGGGTTCACGTCAATATGGTGTCCACGTTCCACGTCCAGATCTCCAAGGCGGAGCGGGACGTGGTGTACCTTCCCCAGCGGGAGCAATGCTACTCTGAGCACATGGTCAAGTGGCTGGGCGCCCTGTACATCTACAAAGGCCTGCTGCTCGTGGTCGGCTGCTACATGGCCTGGGAGACGCGCAACGTCCAGATCCCGGCCCTGAACGACTCGCAGTACATCGGCCTGAGCGTGTACAACGCCGTGATCACGTCGGCGCTTGTCGTGGCGCTGGCCAACGTCATCTCGGCGGAGCGCTACACGCTCACCTTCGCGCTCGTGGGCACGCTCATCTTCGTCTCGACCACCACCACCCTGTGCCTGCTCTTCTTGCCCAAGGTATGCCAAAGAAACAACATGCAGTTTTAAAGCGATAGAGCACTGTAGCCTTAATATACACCCTTACGCGGTTTACAAACGCGTTTCTCCGTCGAGGCACTACACGTGAACAGAAACCAGGTTCACGTGAGACGTATGCGCAGTGCCGACAGCAGCGCCACCACTGTGGAGTATATGGAAGCTCTGCACGAATCTCAGTGCCGTACCACAATCCCCGTAACTTTTTACTCGAGAATCCGCAAGATACTTCATAAGCGTCGTTATTTTTTGCTACCAAGACGTCGTGCATGCTATGTGGCTGTCTGAGAAAAAAACTTGCTTGCTTTGTGCTTCGTGACTCAGCCTTCGCCATGAATGCCTTTTAGCATGAACCATGCGTATACGATGCCTCGTGATCCCTATACAGTGCTTGCAGTGCGTGAAATAGCGGAACGATGTGTATTCTACAAGCTCATTCATTGAGATTAAAAATCTCAAAGAAATGCAAATGAAGGCTGTCTTATTGTTACCATAAAGGCCGTCGCAAAAGCGGCACCCGAAGAATGTGCGCTTTGCCCGCCAATCAGGGAGCTCGACCAATGACGAGGCTGAAGACAAAGTCTGTGTTGTAACACTGGGCGTGCTCTTTGTCACAGCGCAGACTCTTTATTATATATTTTTTTAACGTGAAACTTTTTTTGGCTAGATGCTCCGAATTTCGTTGAGTCGTGACCTGTGACGTCCCATAATGCAATGCGTGCAGTGATGCATTATGGGACGTCACAGGCCTACACAACAATTCGGTTTCCCCGCTAAATTTAGCGGGAAATATAACGTCCCGTCACCTGATGCTAGAACATTTCAAGTACGCAGCACGATTGCCTAGCAATTTGGCCCGTCATTCGATCACCACCGTAGACTGCAACGATTGATGCGCCTAGGTGCTTTGCGGAAAGGTTGGAGCCCCAGATTCCTTTAGGTACAGCTGAGGTCGAAATTAGTACGAACAGCGAAGCGCACGCCATCCTCAGCCTGCGGAACCTCCTAGCAGAACTTGCTACTGTTTCTCCGGCGAGATTATTATCGGCGTTTTGCGCTGTGGCATTATCTTCCGAGTTAACACGACACTAGGGTCGTCCGTGATCGCGTGGAAACGAGAGTATTTGAAATTGCGCATTGTAGCCTAGAGTGCGGAGCTACTTCGAAATGTGAATTATGTTTCAATCAACGAAGAAGGTTGTCTTGTTATAGACCCCTTTAGAAATATTGCCCTCTGTTGGCAGCCGTAGAATCCCTGCACAATGCCGGACTAAAACCTCAACGTCACGGAACACTGAGAAAAGTAAACACCCACAGAAAAAAGCGATAAGCGCAGTGACGTTGCACTTTCGACGCTGTTTGATCGGCTCGTCGGCTCGTAGTGTTGGCCGCGTTTCGACGTTCGCTATCTCATGGAATGACTTGCTCGTTCCTCGATGCAATCGTTCCTCCATCGTGCAGTGGTTTCGACCTTCTAATAATCGGCACGGGATTTTCGAAAGCGGTCTATGCGGAGAGCACATCGTCTGCTTCTGGCACAGGAGTTGCAGTGACGTCATAACGACGCCGAGTTCTAATTGGCCTTCATTGAAAGGATAGTGGGTATAGACCTCAATACTAGATGCCTTGAGTTCTACCCGCTATTCTTCTTTAATGAGCCAATAAGAGCTCGGCGTTCTGACATCATCGCACCCCCTGTGCAAGAAGCAGACAAGCTTTCGCTCCGCATTGCAACATAATAATTGCATCCATAGCACACAAGCCACGGTGCCAGTGGATCAGTAGACGCCACTTCTGAACGGAATTTGAATGGCTTCAATCGAATGACTATGCATAATATGTCAATACAATACTCAGCTCCCGCGTCTGTCCGATCAGTGGCCGCGAAGCCAGGAATTCATACGAACGAGCGACGTCAGTCTCCCAGCTGGCCACTCAAGAGTACAGCGTAAAGGCAGCGCCATTGGCGGTGAATAACGAAGATAACATTCGTCGACATTAATAAAAAAAAATATGAACCGATATCTTTCTTTAGACCAGGGTAGAGAATAAAAATCAATACGATTTAAATCGTGATGTAAATCACACCGGTTTTACTACGATTTAAATCAAACCTTGCCCGCCAAAATAATCTCCAAAATACATTTTCATTTATCGTTTGTCTATCATTTGCTTCTCTTTATGTGCCTATGTTTTGTATTTAAAGAAAAGTATCATCAAGCAAGAAAGATTTATGGCAGGCTGAACACAAACAAAAGGAGACACTTTCCTGAGACCGTACCCTTCGCGGGTCCGTCCATTACGCTATGTTCTATTACAACCAAAATATAATGCAAATGGGGGGAAAAAATAACGTCCTATGCACCGAGAAACTGAGGGAGAGGAGGAGACGAGAGGGCGCCGGGACTACAGAACGCCGAGCTCAGGTTAGAACTACTGCGTAGGCCTAAAGCAAGCTGCATGCCTTTGTCTCCACTGCCATAGCCTCCTCTGTACTCACAAAGCCTGGCAGTTCGACGACGGAGCCATAGAGTGCCCGGTCGCAGATTTGGAGCGCGAGGATCTGGTAGCCCAGGGCATTTCTCGGTGAACCTGGACGTCAGCGCACAACTTTTGCAGCGGCGAGGACCCAAAACACACTTGTTCGCTCGGGAGAAGTGTGTTTCGGCGTCTCGCCGTAACGGGGCGCCTGTCACGTGGCTCTCCTCTCATCCGTTGTCTGCCGCTCCACCTTTTCCATTTCGGCGGCCGCTTCGCGTGGCAATCTGCCAGTCTTTGTCCGTATAGAGGAGGCTATGCCACAGCACTGGTCGAGCGCATTCGGATGCCAGAGCCAAACGCCGGACGCCGGCGAGTCAAAGGCAGCTAGCTTCAGGTCTACCCACTAAACAGTCCAACCAGAGCTCGGCATTATGACTTCCTCGAACGCTCTCGTATCCTCTCGTATCGTATCGTATCCTACGTTTCTCCGCACAAGTTTAAATTTGAAATGCCTCTTTCTTGCGCATTATGTTCAGTGATTGGACGAACTGATAAATCAATCTTTCGTGTTTAACAATACATATAGTGTTAAAGAATCACTATTTTCTAGCTTCACCGATTTAAATCAAATGAATCTGCTTTTATTCAGATAAATTTGATTTAAATAAAATAAATTTGCCTTAAATCATTTAAGTCTGATGATCTTGATTAATCAAATCATGATCTGTGCTTGATTTTGCGAAATACGGCCGCAGAAGCGTTCAGCGGGACGCTACGAACTCCAAGACGACAGTCATATATCATTAAGGACCTTTAACGAACCGTTGACGTGCTCCGCGTACAGCACTACTGGAGCCTTTGAAGCATGCTTTTAAGCGTGCGCCCCGCGGTCACGGTACCACCCGGGCGCGCGCTTAAAAGCATGCTTCAAAGGCTCCGGTAGTGCGGTACGCAAAGCACGGTAACGGTTTGCTAAAGGTCCCTAATATCTCAAACGGATGGCCGTATTTTTTTAGAAAGCAGGACGCAATCAAGAGAGGACTATAACACCCCAATCCTTCTGTAACTGTCGAGAAGGAAGGAAAGTGGCTTAGCTTCTCTCCTCTTCGCTTCAATTCACCTGCTCGGGGGGACGAAGCGAAAAGGAGAGGGAATGAGGATCGTGACGTCACATGTCTCGTCGACATCGTCGATCGTGTTCAATCGCGCACTTCTTTTTTCACAACTACAGCCATCCGTTGGAATCTCGCTGTATGAGTGATGTTTTTGGGTTTTGCAGCGTCCTGCCTATCGCTCCAGCCTTGTTTTGCGAGCTCCAAATTTCGGATCAGTATCCCTTTAAACACTGCCCCCATCTGCCGCTATGGAGTAACCTAGGTGTCGTTCGGTCGTTGCTCCGCTGTTTGCATTTCTTTTAACCATGAGATACCGATGCGATCACCTCCGGTGCACTCGCGGTTTCAGATCCACGCCATCATGAACAACGCGGACGCAGACGCTGTGGTGGCGTCTTCCGGCGTTCGGGTGGAGTTCAACACCAGGAGGTTCGCCATCGACGAAAGGCGGGAGCTCTTCTACCGTACGGAGGTCCAGAGCAGGGCGTACGCTAGAGAAGTGAACGAGGCAAGTCCATTGGCCTCCTGCTTTGCCCAGGAGGCGGTGCGAGAAAAAACCGGCTGGCAGCGCCCCCTACGATTTATTTATCGGTATTGGGCGGTACAAACCTGCCCATTTGAAATTTTTCCCGCGTGAAAACGTTAGCCAGAGGCATGAATTTCTCCCTTGCGATTGCCTTACGGCACGGAATCGAGCCAATTTCTAACGTGAAAAGCTTCTTTTGTTCCTCAATACTTCGCAAAGAAAATAAACTCGGCGATGCAAGCTACGTCTACGCCGTACAAGAAGCCGCAAATTTGGTGTCGGCATGCCGTCACTCGCAAAAAAGAAAAAAAAGAGCGAGCTTCTTATGATGTCGAGCTTGAGGTGAGCATTGCGAGATACGCCAACGCGCCTTGTAAGCGAAAACTCCCAAAACTGCAGTCCCCCCGTACAGCCAAGGCTATCAGCTGATGATTAACCTTGAAAATGCACGAAAGCTGACGCAAGCGATCGAACGTCGAACAGCCGAGCACATCATTCTTACTTCTACTACAGTAGTAATAATGATAATAATAATATATTAATAATTATCTTTATTTGCAGAGAAGTTTACCCCGATTGGCTTGCTCGGCTAGAGCGGATAGGCGAAAGCCCGCACGCTTGTGCGTCTGCTAGCCGACCACCTGGGGCAGGAGAAAAACAAAGGACTACACGCTGCCTTTTGAGCTCTTGCAGATTTTCTTGTACATCTGCGATGTAAGCTTCACGCAACATAAAATCAGCACTAGGGGCTCTGCCTTCAGGACATGCTTAGGGTGCCTACATGTCTGTCTGTCTCAGCAAAGCAAAAGCGCGCGTGTGTATGAAGGCACTCTAGACATGCTTGCTTCCCTCTGTGGTGCGTTGGTGTGCGCGCGTGCTCGAGGGAGTTCACTCGGATGTTCGTAAAATTCGCATGACGCACGTTTCGATGCATGCCACGGCCGCTTGATCGAGTGGCCGATACCCTAACAGGATAACCTAGAGGAAGAGAAAAACAATTCTCGCTTACTCAGTCTGCTGGGCGGCTAGTATCGTTCCCTCCGCTCGACTTCGCACGGCTTCGATGGGGGTCTGTAGACGTTCATTCCTGGTTCTTGACAGTTGACGACGCAACAGTACCGTCGACGGCGACGTTTTGAACGCATCGAAGGTGCGCTGCTGGCTCCCCGTTTCGACGTGCTTGGACGAAGGAAAAATTGCTAGCTTGCGGCGACCTCGGGTTGTGCGGTGACGTTGTGCGGTGACGACTACGGGTGGCGTATTTGGAATCGTGACCACGCGAACGCATAAATAAAGGCAAAGTGCAGAGGTAAACAGCCGCCCGAACAGGTTTGCTATTGTGCGGGGCCGCGGGACTTGTACTACTCAGACACTCTATCGCCCGCCTCCGGAGGGCGCCAAGATACGTTCAAAGCTTCAGCGCAGGAGGCCTATACCCTTGAGAGAGTGCATGTTCCCACAAAAGGCCTCGATTGTCTGCATAGTCATACAGTGTTGCTGCCAGCTGACAGACATGCTTGCAGATTAAAGAGCGGTGCAACGATATTCAATTGGAGTGTTTTTCACTTTACACGAGCTTACTAGCACTAGTGGGGCTCAAGGATACCCGCACGCAACGCCACTGGCCAAGGAACTCCTTTGTTGCGGTGTAATTTCAAGGACAAAAGCGATCATTTTCATTCAATCTCTCCTTTGCAAAATTTGATGACGTAATGTGGGGATCGCAGTAGACCCCAATGACGTATTTGAATGCGGTTCATAGATTGGACCCAAGCATTCCGCGAGCACTTGATTTGGGCTCGTGATAATTACTAGCTCGAGAAGCATTCGGGTAGTGACCCGTGTCCAATCGCAGCAACGACGACAGTAGCCGAGCCATAACAATGTCTGGAACTTAGTGCGTGCCCTGTGCTTTGCCAACCCCAGCGCGTGGCTATGATCACGATTGGCGACATATAATCGGCTCCAGATCACGTGACCGCTTGTTCTGGCTGTGAGTTGAGGGGGTGATCGCTGCTCTTTTTTTATTAATTTTTTTCTAGGACTTCTATTGCGTGGAAGGAAAAACGAACGCCTGTTTTATAAGTCATTAGACAGTTTTAGTGGACCGTACTCTATAGCTTTGCGTACGTAAAAAGATTGCGGTTCGTGAGTGCGCATGCGCAGAACGCAATAGAAGGGCTAGCGTATTGCGTACGCACGCAACGCTGGGGATTTTCCGTTGGTGGCTATAGCGGGCCTTGCGGGACGCTCTCGAGTGATCTCGGACCCAACGAGAACGCCCGTTTCAAGATGGCGGTTGCCTCGACTGGCGCAGCAAGGGCGACGTGGTGTTTTCGAAGTTCTGTGTTACGTAAAATTGCGTGGTGTTCAGCTCGGCGATTCTTTCTGGGACCTACCGCGGTCGAGTCAGATCGCCCTGCAGCTGAAGGAGTGCACAGTGGAAATGTTCGCCGCTCGCAGTGTGCGTCGACGCAGCGATCTGCTCAACGCTAAGCCTATTCCCACAGTTCATCGCCGACGGACGAACGACTCTAAAAGAAATCGCCGAAGTTCTCGCTATGCACTGGACATCAGGGTCATGAATTTCATTCCGCGATAGCATTGATTAAAGGTGCCGTTTCCACGGGACGAGTGACGGAGGCTCCGTTATCGAATTTGGCTACGCACTCGTACTCGTAGCCTTGTACCCCGCAGAAAAGTGCGCTTCACGAGGCAGCTGTGGCTTGGTTTAATCTGAAATAAAATGATTGGACACTTTTCTTTTTGAATATTTCTTTCCAGGAGCATGGTCGCGCTATAAGCACGCGGAATTCTACGGCTCTAGCAAATTTAACCAACATCATGCGCGGTGTTCACTTGAAAACGTAACGCACAACTAAATTCGGTCCGAGCAGGTTATTTTTAGCGTACGCTATAATATTGCGTATTGCGGACGTGAGATCCGGCAACGCTAAACTAAAACTGTCCATTAACGTCAGGGATTCGTTCTAAGCGTTATTTGCGCAAAGTACGAAAATTGTTGCATCGCCCCTATAATAAAGGGGAAGACGGTGACGGGGAAAAAATTACTAACTTACAATAGCTTGTTTCTCGAAAGGGTGCTGTTCGCCTCCTGCGGGGTTCGATGTGCTAACCAATTATTTCCAAAACGTCTCAAGGCTTGTTAAACTTGTTTGTTAAAAAAATGTTTAATTGTTTGTTAAATGTGGTTTGTTAAAAATGGACGTCTAGAGCGGGTATAGTCACCTGTGTCACTTAAAACTTCGTTAGTACTTGCCGGGGGACTTGCGCAAAAGGATATAAACCACGAACTGTTGACATTTGCTTCAGCTTCCATTTAAACACCGATGAAAGAAGTTGTCATAACCCAAACGCCGGATCATTTCGCAGCTGGATCTCGAGATCGCACGTCTGAAGAAGCTCTTGGGAGAACCAACTTCCACAGAAGCATCGTCTGATGCCAACTCGGCCAAGGTGAGCGTAAGATATCACACCCACGGTAACTTCCAAAAAGAAAAAAAAAAAGAAAGAAGAAAGTAAGGGCCATTTTCCAAAAGAGTCATTCAATGAAGTCACGCGCTCACGTGCTTGTGCTAACTGATTAACATATGAAGTTTTAGAATTGGGGGCCCGAGTGTTTTGGCTTCCCCCGAACAGCTTGGGGCGCCGCAATGCGCATAAGCTCCGCGCATGCTCTGTGCAACACCCCAAGCTGCTCGGGGGACCCACTTGAACTTGTGCAGGGTAGAGTGCTGGATATACTGCTTATAGATGTGTGAACGCAAAATGCTGCTGTGAGACCCACTGAGAATAATATATGAACAGGGTGTTCCACGTAACTTTTGTGAAAGTTTGAAAGTATTTTGGTGCATTTTAAAACGACGAAACCAAAGGAATAAGATTGCATACTGCTTCGAGCGAGTCAGACAATTTCTTTTTGTTGGTATTTCGCCCTATTCAGAAATAAATCAAGATTTGTTAATGAACTTTTGAAATATTCAATTTAGAGCAAAATTTCCAATGACAAAGTTGCAGAGCGTCCCCAGAAACATCTTATTCGGTGTTTTTTTGTGAAGAAACCTTAATATAACTGTTTATGGGCTTAAAATAAATGAAAGACGTTTATGGCCCGTTCGCACTCTGACGACCGAGTAAGACCGAGAGAGACCAGATCGGTTTTTAAGCCTCTTGCGACGTCTTAGGACCGGATCCAGAGCAGCAGAGCTGGTCCTAAGGCATCGCAAGAGGCTTAAAAGCCGGTCTAGTCTTTCTCAGTCTTACTCGGTCGCAAGAGTGTGAACGGGCCTTTACAATCCCCTGTAACGCCGAATTAGAGCGCAGCTCTTAAAGAGAAGGGGAAGGTACGGAGAGGGGGCTATGCCCCCCCTCCTCATCCATACCCTGCCCTGCTCCTCTCCTGCCATTTAGCAGGAAATTTTCGCTAAATATATCGGGTTAAATTTTTCCGCTAAATTTAGCGGGAAAATTTTTTGCTAAATTTAGCGGGGAAACTTTTCGCTATATAAAGCGGGGGATGTTTTCGGCAGAATTTAGCAGGAAAACGTTTCCCGCTAAATTTAGCGGGGAAAATTACCCATAATGGAACGCGCGGTGTCGTCACTCGTGACATCACGTGTGCGTCATTAGAGAGTTTTAGAATAACGTACGCGATTTTAGCGCGCTTTAGAGCTAAATTTAGCGCTTACGTTAGCGCACGCTACGCGAGAGTTTTAGAATAGCGTCCCAAGCAGCACATAAACGTGAAAAAAACGTCGAAAGAACGTCGAAGACGTCTGTAACGTGACGTCGTAAAACGTCGAAGGTCCGGACGTTACCTTCCTTCGACGTCGATGAAACCTTTAAATGTCCGCGAGAAAAGGTGCACAGAAGGTCGAGGGGACGTTCCAAATGACGTTTGTTGCACGTCACATGCACGTCTCAGTGGGCCGTCGCGTCCTCCCTGGACGTTTATGATACGTGTGTTTACGACATCCGGACTACCAACGACGTTCACAGAACGTCGAGAAACCTTTCCAAATTACGTTCCCTAGCCGTCGTGGGAAAACGTCGTGTCCCTCCCCCCCCCCCCCCCCCCCCAAAAAAAAAAAAAAAGTATTTTTTTTTTTTATTATTGCGAAGGCAAGTTGCTATCAAGCAAGTACGAAGGAAGTAACTAAAACAGGTTTGGTACGAACTGTTTATTTGAGCATGTTCAGACACGAGATGCAATACAGAGCGAATGCCAAAGACGTCCCTGGATGTACCAGCCTCAAAGATATAAAAGAACAAACAAACTCGCTTGAATAAATTAACAGGAGACGATGTCACGGGGCGCGGAATGTTCCACCGCTTACCTCGTTCTGCTTCTGATTAATGCGCTGACGCGCCTGCTTTAGCCGTCCCATTGCGCGTAGCTGGTACTCTCGCTGCGTGCACGGGAATGGCTTCAGAAGGGGGATCCCGTCCGCTGGGCGTTCTTGATTGGGATCGTCGGAGGCGTCTGAAGGGTCTTGATCGGAGACTGGACTTAACGCGCCGTTATGTGCACTGCCACTTGTTTTCTGGGGGGCGTCATTCATATCCTCACAGGCACCTTGATCCGAGCAGTAGTACGATTCAACGTGTGAAGCGTTATGGCCTTGAAAAAGGTCCTCGATCCGTGACTGAATACGACGACGTTTTTGGCGATCACCGACTTCTTCACGGGCGCGACTTGAACGACTCATCCAATCGCAGCACTTATACTGTATGCGGACACAAAAAAAAAAAAAAAAAATCACGGCGACATAGCAGCCTGCCTCGTAGACCCGTAGACGTGACGGCCGGTGCTAGTGACTGGCTTTCGGAAAAAGCTGGACCGGGTCCCAGAGCTGTTCTCTCTTGGCCAATTCGAAGAACAGAACATTGAGTGAAATATTTTGGGAACGACTGAGAAAATTCAAAATACGCGCACCCGGAACTTAGGCTTGTCAATTGTTCGTCGTCGCTATCTTCCCCCACTTTTCTCTCTCGCCCTCTTCATGCCGAGTTTCCCGACGCATCGCATGGGGCTCTATGGAGGTGCCACTGGCATCTCCTCTGCCTACCTTCGCCCTCTCTCTCACGCCGTGCCGGCTGTTTTGTTTTCGTTTTTTTCTTTCTTTTTTTGTGTTTTTTTTTTCCGGCACGTAAGTGCGGACTGGGCTTGAACGCTTTTTGGACCGTCATCTGGGCCATTCAGGGGTTGGCATTATGAATGTCAATTTCCACAAACCGTTGACAGTATCTACCGAATTTCGTCATTGCCTGGCATTCTTTTTTTTTTTTTTTTTGAGTCAATTCCAAATATGCGCAAGTGTGCAGTGAAGTTGTGCTCTGATATAGTGTGTGCTGGCATGCGATTTTCGTTTGGGTACATCACCAGTGGCAACGAAAGCCAGATATGTACTGTCAGTCACGTGACAAGACTGCGCCCCGATCTACGGAAAGCGCTAAGGCGCTGGAAGTTGGTGTTATGAATGAACTGCGATGTTGATGCAAATTTTTTAGTTGTGCGCAGGTGAGCATGGGTTACAAAATATGAAGAGAAATTGACGAACCTTAAAACAATCTCGGGTGGTCGCGGAGCAGTACGGATGCTCCTAGGAAAGGATACAGGCTTGAAATAACCTGGAGAGGGGATAGTGTAGCGGCGCCCCTGAGGCGCGTGCCAGGGCCCAGGACCCATGGAAGACGACAACGCGCGTGCAAAATGCAAGAATGGTACAGTTCGATCCGTTCTAGACGCCATGGGCTTCGCAAATTAAACCTGTAACAATATTTTAAACAAACCAAAATTATAACAAACACATCTAAAGGGAATGATATTCCCAACATGCTTTCATATTATTTTTTTTCTTCCGTGTACATTGAGTTTTGTAAATGCCCTCTTTAGCGTCATCGATGTGAAATAATAGCATTTTGAAATACGCAAATTAATATATAAATAATTAAACTTCTCAACCTCTCAAAAATTAAGTTTTGTTTGCGGCTCTTGAGCACTGTCACCTTGACCACAGTGATTCTGCGGCTGGAAATTGAGCTGGAACTCTAAAAACGTCGAACAGAACGTGAGTGGTCGACGTTGCAAGCACGACTTGTATGACGTTTACGACATTTAGGTGTGAACACGACGTCGCAGAAATGTCACCGACGGGGCAATAATGTAATGTCACCCTGGACTTCATTTTAACTTTGAAGACACGTGAGTGTTCGACGTTGCTAAAACGTCTTGTCTTGACGTCGTGGCGACGATGACGACGTTAAAGTTGAAACGTGACGTCGCCAGCACGTCACGGGCAGGACGATAATGGGACGTCATTTATGAACTTAAGTTCAACGTCAAAGAAACGTGAGCGTTGGACGTTGTGAGAACGTCGTGCATCGACGTCGTGGGAACGTTGACGACGTTTGAGTTGAAATACAACGTCGTCACAACGTCACTGATTGGACCCTAATGGAACGTTATATAAGGACGTCACCTCAACATCGAAAAAACGTGATCGAAGTCGTACGGGACGTCACGGACGTCCGGGACTTTTTCTCGACGTTTCCACGACGTTTTGTGCTGCCTGGGGTTTCTCTGCCGCGACGCAAAATTCCAAGCATCTTGCGCTTGCAACGCCACCAAGATACAGTTAAAATTTTTATTTCACACGCGAAATACTGTAGCATGAAAAAAAAAGTTTTTTTGGTCTGACGCGAGCGGCCGACTGGTCGTGTCCGCTTGCGTCGCTTCGAGAAGAGAGGTCTCGTGCATTGACGACCTTCGCTGCCTTCGCCGAGAAATGTCCGCACGTCGCAAGCATCAAGTTGCCAGAGATCGTTGCCAAACCACAAACCGAGTGCAATGTCATCCCGTATTGAAAATCGCAGTCGCGAGGATGCCGCCGACGTCGCGCTCACGACGCCGCCAAAGCGGACGCAGTCATGGTCCTGGGGGCCGCCATTGTTTTAACTGCGCTCGTCTTGGCTTTTGCCAACTTCTCATTATGAATCCACCTTGGAGGAGCGCAAAGACTTTTTTATTGCGTACGCACGCAATTTCCAAAAAATAGCGTACGCTAAAATAGCGCACGCAAAGCGCAAGACGTGGTTAGCGTTCGGCGCATGCGCAGTGGCGACGACGGTATTCTTTGAGTACGCAAAGCTTTAGCGTGCGCAATTCTAAAACTCCCTATCATGGGAAACGTTCCATAATGCAACGCACGCTTACGCCGACGCCACTCAAACCGGAAACGGGTGCATAAGAGCTGCGCTTTAAAGATAAACGCAAATTAATAAAAAAAAAACCATGACTTTGCATTTCTTCGTTTTGTATTGCAACGCTCTCAGCAGTGGCTTGAATAAACTAGGCCCCTATGCTAAATAGAGCACTTCTGACAAGGCGCTGTTGACACACTCGCGTTTTTAATGCGAAAGTATTAACTGTCTCATGGAGTGAAGCCGGCGGAAAACGGCACCTAAATACCCATTGGCTGAGCGAACCCGCACCTAAATACGCATTGGCTGAGCGAAACGGCACCTAAAATCCCACTGGCTGAGCGAACCGGCACCTAAATTCTCATTCCCAATAAAACGCAAAGGAAAGCAAAGCAACGTAGATGCTTCGTCACGGAAGCCGGCGGGTGCGCTCAGGGTCAAAGCGGACGCGCCTTAGAAATAAAACACAAAGAAAAGCTCATGTCAACAATATGCTTCGTCACGAAAGTCGTCGTGAAGCCGGCGGGGTTCGCCGCGCCTGCGCAATGGAGGAGTGTGACGTCACCGCCAGAGCGCTGCTCTTAGGAATGCGCTGCGTGTAAGAATGCTTTCGCTACACGTGAGCAATCGGAAGTGTGTCTGTCCTCAATTCGTTTTTTCTTCTTCATAATTTGAGCACCTTTCTAGAAGCTCGGAAAAACAAACCGTGTTAGAGATTTCTTGAAAAAAAATAATTACTGAATTGGATGTTTTTGAGGACGATCTACAGCTTTGGCATTGGAGTGAGCTCTAAAATGATTATTTTGAAAGTTTATAAATGAATCGTAATTAATTAGTTAGCTGGGTAAAATACGAAAAATAGCCTGACTTGGTCCAAACAATGAACAAACCTATTCCTTTTGTTTCGTCTGTCTAAAATGCACCAACATATTTTCAAACCTTGGCAAAATTAACGTGGAACACCGGATATATATAAATAAAAGCATGTTTCCGTCCAAAGCCTGGCAGTTCGACGACGGAGCTATAGAGTGCCCGGTCGCAGATTTGGTAGCACAGAGCATTTCTCGGGGCACCTGGTCGTCAGCGCACAGCTTTCGCAACGGCGAAGACCCGAAACATGGTTTTCAAACCCGACAAGAGAAGAAGCGGTAGCGCGAGGAATGCGAGGAGCACGAGCGGACATTTCATAGCTCGGGACACCGTTACTAAAACACTCAGTTGGGAAACTGCGAGAGAGACTTATCTGAAAAAGTGTCCCCGATCTGTCCTCGAGCACCGAGCTAATGACGAACACAACGCCGCCATTTCTCCCGCAGCGGCCACTCGAGGAACTGCACGTTAATTCCATTTTGGCTTAAATCGGCCATTTTGGAGCCGAAACAGATACAGCGGAAGGGGTTACAGGGGTGCCACCCCCGCCTCTCCAGCGGACGCGCCGCGACTTACTACTGAAGTTAAAATGCACCTAGGTCGGGACGCGCTACCTGAAAGCACCGCTGAGGCATGATTGTACAAAAACAATATTAATTGTGCCGCAAAACCCTGCAAACTAAAGATTTTAAAAACATCACGCGCCCATCATTTTGTACAAAGCTCCAAGTAATTTCATACCAAAAGAGTCTTTTCCCTTTGTTTTTACGCAAAAATATGCTATGTAAAAGCTTAAGGTGACCACAGTACAGACAAATGAGAAAGAGTGGCGCTGTTGTCGTATTTAGCTCGGTCTCGGTGGACACCAGCGGCCCGCGGCGAGTTTCCCAACTGAGTGTTCTAGTAACGTTGGCTCGGGACAAGTGTGTTTCGGCGTCTCCCCGCAGCGGGGCGCGCGTTACATGAGTCTCCTCTCATCCGTTGTCTGCCGCTCTACCTTTTCACTTTCGACGGACGCGTCTCGTGGCGATCTGCCAGGTTTTCTCAGTATAGAGGAGGCTATGATCCACCATGTTCGCTGTACCCTCAAGGTGAACATAAGTGAAATGGACTTCTGCTTGATTATATGGCGAGCAAGTGTTACAAAATACGCCTTTTGCACCTTGGAACGACGCAAGAAGGGCCTGCTACTGAAAGAGCAACATATATAAGTTCATATATTACAAAAAAAATGTCTTCGGCATATTTACAATGAGCCTTATGAAGCGCCAAGTACTCACTTGTTCTACCACTACCATGTAACCAGTGCATTCTATAGATATCGATTAAGTTCGAGGTATAATTTCGAAACACGAAACAATATTACTAACTTACGTGATCTGCCTCATCTTCAAATAAAGAACATAACTAGTTACTCAACAAGACATAGAGAAAATTGGGTAGTGCGTACACTTCGTTCGAACTACGGAAAAAATTGCCTAAGTTTCGTACTACCGTCTTTACTAAACACATATCATCTTGTGCATTTTGATTTATTTACCTGTAAGAACAGTGAATTCCGCAGAATGTATGAAACCGAGAGAGTATGACTTTTTGCGATTTTTTTGTTTAAATGTGTGCGCCCTAAACATTTATGATCACAATGATATTTTTTTTGTTAGTGTGTTGTTGCAATGTATTGTTAAAATTACTTTTCTTCCCGCCTTTTTTTTTGTTTTTGTTCTTCTCTTCTGTGAATACTTTAGCACGATGCTGCTTAGCTGCTAATATTAAGGGTCTGTGGACTTGTGAAGCTGCAATGCTGTAGCTTTTTTCCACAGCTCCTTCATCTTCTTTGTACAAGGTGAAAATAAACTGCTTTGATTTGATTAAAGATCGCGCCGGGAGTGCGAGACAATGATGCAGCCGAGCACGCGCCGCCATGATTCGAGGTCGGGGGGAAGCAAATGCACGTGGGCCCATATGACGGGTAGACAAGCGCACGAGGTGCGCAAGAAGCCGAAGAACTTGCTCGCCGTATTGTCAATTAGCGCTCTCGCCACCCTGAGTGGTGCTGCTCCACCAATGCTTCGGTGTGCTGCAGAGTGACGCAAGGTGACGCGGTCCCGCACTGCTGTGCGAACCTGTAAACGTTTCAACCCGCTTAAAGGTCGACGAGCAGCCAGAAAGGAGGAAACTTTCCCTCAATTGCTCTTTTCCATTCGCGAAAGGGGAGACCCTCCCCGTTTTTGATGGGAGTAGCTCAAAGTCCCGCTCTTTTGGGGAGAGGGCGAGGGAAGAGAGGGAGTTGGAATGAAGAAAAGGGAACTGGATACCGGCTTTCTGCCCGGCAGAAGACGATTCTGTAAGTCGCCCCTGAAGCATTCCTTCCGAAAAATTTGAGAACGCTCACTTTTGGCAGAGAGATGCTTCTCCTTAGGCACCAGTACAGTGCAAAAATAACAAATAAAAGCCGGCCGTAACGCGCCGACTTTTTGAAATTTCATTTTAATGGCGCCTGCTTAGAAACAATTTAAGCTACTTTTATTTTATGTGTTATGATGCGGCTATTACAAATAGCACAACAAAATAGCAGCTGACGAACTATGTTTCAACACTCTTGCTGTATTGACCAGAGCCAACACCACCAGTAAGTAGAGCCAATCAAACACTATGAAGGTATAGCAGTAAAGCGCTAGATTAACAGAGGTGCTCATATTCCAACTCGTTAAAAGTTAACTTGCCTTCGTTACTCTTGTCGTGGGCCATGCCGCGGGATGAGGCATTGGTGTGTATGCGAGCGACTGCCATAATATTTACAGATAACTTTAAATTCATACAGAATAACATGCTGAATTATTAGAGTCTACATGAGGAGGGTTCTGCTCTTAGAATATGCAGTAGAGGTCTCGTCGAATCATATTGTACTTCTCACAAACCCTACGTTCTTGGCCCAAGGACCACGTCTGTCTAGGCGTACTGGTGAGCATTGAAAAAGTGTATGTCGCAAGTCTCACTAGTTGTTCCGCAATAGGTGGCATTCACTGGCGACCATAGCAGAGTCCGTTGCTGCTAAGCGCGAGTTTACGATGAGCTTTCACAGCGCTTTCTCAACGTGCATTACACACCACCAAGAGTGTTAGTTCTCGAAAGATATATGGGGGCTTGTTCCGAATATGCACTGAGAAACGCTACGGTCAAATATGGCACCCAGCGGATACCACCTATGGTGAGCTAAACAATATTCAAATGTCTCTCACTGATACTCATGTTTATTTGCTCGCCCCCCAAAAAATGCTGCAGTCGGAAAGCCCCCTGTCCTCCCTTCTGGAGCGTTTCAAGCGCAAGCGGGCATCCCTGGAGTCGGAGGGCATCTCAGCCATCACCACAGCGGGTGCCACCACGGCATTTTCTTCTCCCGGACCCCCTCCCCACCGATTCCGAAACCCCTACTCCCCACACCCCGCAAAGATCCACTCCGTCATCCACGCGGGCATTCCAGAATCCCCGCTGTCCATTCCAAGCACCAGGACCCTCCTCCAACTCCGCGCAGAAGACCTGCTTCCAAAGCGACCAGAGGGAAGGTCTCCACGAGGCTTGCCGCGACTCAGGAGCAGCCTTCCGGCCATCGCAGCGCTGGATAACGCGAGCGGTCCGGATGACCCATTGTCAAGGATGGCCATGGGCCATGCCGGCTCCTTCCCGGCTCTCAGGTCATCCCCAAGCTCCGAGGGCATCGAGGACAACGACGAAGAGGACGGCGGTCGCGACTCGGTGTACCAGTCGGTCGAGGTGGTCGCGAACGGCGGAAGCACCACGGACGAGTACCGCACAGTGTCGTCAGACGACGACACATACGTGAGTTGCCGGACTTTTAATCGTGGTTCGTCGTCGACTCTCGCCAACTGGTCCCCGGCGTGCTTCGAGCCTGCCGTAGCCGGCGAGCTCGGAGTCCTGGAGGAGATGAACGACGACGACTCGTCGGTGGCCACCACGCCGGTGTCTCGGAACAATCCTTCCAGGGACAATGCGTCGAGGGAAGAGACGTCCCGGGAGGCATTTGAGGAGGATGAGGCACATGGTGTCTCCAGGGAGATACTGCGGGCCCAGCGCGAACATTTTTTAAGACAACTAGAAGCGGCAGAGTCCGTGGACGTCTGACGACTTGCTGTGGGCTCGCGGCCCGTTACCTGGTGTTTGAGAGAACGCTTTGGTAATATCTGCAGGGTGTTTAGAGGTCCCATGTATTACGAGAATGCTGCATTCATGGTTACCCTTTTGTTACCCGTATGAGCTATGCTTTGCTAACTATTGGCTAGCGTACATGCTGACCCCACTGTGTTTATGGCTGTTGATCATTAGAATTGAAGCACACCAAATAGTGCGATCATTTAATTGTTATTGTATAGATATATACATATATTGGGCAAGGCTCATGTGGTTCTATAGAGCGGACAGTTCGTTTAGAACGGAACAGGCCCTATGGCATTAATTGTGAAGCGTGAAAAAATAGAGAGGAACCGAACGCAAGAAGCAGGGTGATAGATGTAAAATAGGCAACACTGACATGGGGTCATCGAATACATCACTGTCGATGTTTTAAAGAGCTTTCACCGGGAATGAATTTGATGTACATTCCATCGCAGGTTTCGTAAACAACGTCGTAGGGATGCTCCAGCAGTCTTTGTGCTCTAATTGCTTGGAGCTTCGGAGTGTTAGGAATGACTTGGCTGTCGCTGTTTATATAATACTAGTACAATCCTAGACCAACCTAATGGTTCCTAAGCCCCTGTTGTCCATGACTGCCCATACAAAATGAATTCAGACCTAAGATGCTCGTCTTCATTACGTAGGATTATAGGCAAAATAATTGTTGGATGTTTGAGCATCACAAGAAATATTTAAATTTTAAACCGCGCAGCAATTTATCAACAAAGTGTATAATGGAAATGTCACATCCTCACATTTACAGCTTTGAAACAGAGCTTAATGACATCATTTGCTAAATGAGTGAAACTGTCCCTTATCACTTTCACTTGACATTTCACTCATTTTCTTGGATTATAAGCAGCAAAGTGAAGGCTGCTCATCTTACAAGTCTTCTGAAAACTAGCCTGCCTTTGAACTTCATTCTCACATATAGCACAGTGCTAACTCAGTGCCAAATGGAGTGCTGTGTCCATGCTGACTTAGCAATAAGTTTAACACCAGTTCTGTAACAGGTGAGAAGGAACATTTACCAGTGACTGTGCCCTTTAACATTTCATATCTGGGAAGTGAAGGCAAGGATGTGTCCCGTTGCTTTTAATTCCGGTGACCTGTGCTCGTCTAAGAACAGCGAATTCCATGATGAAGTGATAAACGCCGTTGAAGCATTTCTGAAGAAGCATCAAACTTGTAATTTTGGACGAGGAGTAATTACCACTTACAAAAGTAGGTAGAAACCTAAGTGCAAACGACAACAAGCCATTGCTTTCATTAGAAACTTAGGAAACAAGTGCACTAGCACCACCATGCGATCCCATGTCAAACTTCCTTCATAATCATTTATTGACTGCTGAGAAATCGCACCTAAAAGGTAGTGAATATCGCTACATGAATGCATCGAGCGTTTCAGTTGTCACGCCCCAGATAAAAGGAAAAAAATCTCGATGATGGAAGAAAGAATCAGCGCTGGCTGGATCAGCATTGCGCTGCATGTCAGAATCTGGCTTTAGCTTCCAAATACTGCAATCCTGTGCAAAACCTTTATGACAGAGCAGTCTTTCACAGACCTATTTGGACTTTGTATTCAGTCTTTTGGCTCCTCAGCGACTTATGTTGGTCTCTCGGTGACTTCCTTTAATTTTGCCGAAGCCAGCTTTGGCTTGTCAATTGCTCATTTCTCCTTTACGCTATCATGGAAAATCTACCGTAAAATGCCGAGCAAGCACCCAGTCAGAATTTGACGATAATCGCGAAAAAAGGGGATGGACGCATGTGAGGTCATTAATTATTACATATATATGTACTGTGCATATTGTTTTCAGATGTTTCAAATTTTGTGGGTGGGCGCGCTCAGTGTTGAATGGGCGGATGCACGGTATTCTACGGTACATGGTAACAAATGGTACTTGTGGCGCTACCATAGCACGCACCACGCTACTACGTGCAATCTGCGAAACAAAGCAGGATTAATGCTAAAGGCCGGTCCCTAGATTCATTATCCTCCACTGTTTATATTGAAATGTCTCCGAAAACCAGCCGAAACAACAGCATAAGCTATTAACCATCTTAGAATTCAAGAAAAACATAAAGGCTTAGTCGTTTCCCTCTAAATTTCGACAACACACTACAAAACCTCCCAGGTCAGACAGCTCTGCAAAGCCGTGTCCACGCAGGTCCCTCAAACGAAGTCAGACATACACCATTGAGAGAGGCTAGCGTATGTTGGCATCTGGCCAACTGAATGCGAGAGGGATGCTGGACTCTGGTTGACAGATCGATGGACAGGGCTTAAACACTTCCTGAGATTAGGTCTTTTGAGTGCTGATGAAGCTTATGCACTATACTGGGTGCCCCTTAACTTGGACATACTCCCGAGTCAGACACTCCAAGTGCACACCACTAGTGTCAGAGTCTGGGAAGTCTGACTGTGTATGAATTACCAGAATTTTTATATCACCGACATTTTTCGGCGGCTCAGTTTCCTTTGTGCTTGCTAACCCTATAATCTCTCCACTGGTCTAGCTCTAGTATAACTCTTTTAAACATATCATGTCACACAAACTTCTCCAAAACAGCAAGTTAATTGTAGGGAAAGAAATATCTCAATCACAGAAGTGTACTGGGATCAATAGTATCCATGCTATACATCACTACGAGCTTCTACCATCCTTGTCAGGAATGTCTGCCACTCTTGCAAGTGATCATTTGTATGTAGCTCCTTCTAGGCCTATCACATGTTCGTTTCTCCTACAGGTTTGCATCGATGTGTCAAGTTAGACTGGAGGCCAATGAGCACAAATAATGTACAAAGCTATACAGTTATCAAAAACAATTGATGAAAATCTTGTCAAATTCAAGCTAATCACAAGGAGTTGTCTTTCCTACTGTGTAGATGACCATACATTCAAGTTACACATCCACAAAAAACACTGCGAAATTCTTCATTTCAGTGTGGTTCTTGCAAACTGCAAGGTACTATCTGTTAATATTTTCAAATGTTGATAGGTTTACATGTTAGCCGTGACTACTATAAATGTGGTAGTCTCCATGACCCAAATGTGTGTGATGTGCAAGTACGAAAAGCTGATCGTGTAACAGCCCAGTATGCCAAACCCAAAGTGCCTTATTAGAAACTACCAGCTTGTAATATGTCTCCCAGTCTTTCTCAGCCTAAATGCACTAGCACTCCATCAGGCCCACTGCTCCAGGAACTTGCCATTGACAAGGCCTCCAAGGAACCTAGACCTTTTCCAATAACTGGATAAGCAGAAACTTATGTGCAATGCTTCAGCAATTTAAAAAGGCAAAAATAACACTACTACCTTAAAGTCTTTATGAAAAAGAGAGCTCCCGAAGTGGTAAAGCAAGGAGCAATTGTTGTGAGCAGGAACAATAACAAACACCAATGCTGGCTCCTCAGCTCAGCAGCTGAACTGAACACAAGGCCCATCAATGTGAGGTTCCGCATAAGATGAAGAGTCAACAAAAACTGATAGGGTGCCAAGCTTGGCTTACCACACAACTGAGAGATCCTAAAGCTTTGCATAGCATTATTGGCTAGAGGTTGAACTTCTGAACTACTCAAGAAATCGCAATGAAATTTGCAGGGGAGATTTAACTTCAGATGTAGGTGTACAGCGCAAATTTCCAGCCTCTTTGGGACAACTTTCCATGCCTGCATAAGAAGATGTGTCACTCTTCGTTAAGAAATTTATGATATGCAAATGAAGCTATTGAGCATCATTTTGACTGCTTGAATATAAAGTGGGGGATGTGGGACTTCGAGCTATCTAGTTTTTATAACTCAAATGTAAATATTTCAGGAAGAGTGATTACCTCGATATATGAGATGCACATCTGTCCTGTGGCAAGTTTTGAAAACATTGTTTTTTCACAATGAGGACTTTAACTTAAAACAAAATAAAGTAGATAGCCCGATTCGCCAGTAAATTTCAGTTCAGAAACATCTTGATTGTGGTATCAGAATAATTTTACCTTCGAACAAAAGATTCCTTCATATGAAATTTGCAGCAAAAAGGGGAACCTAAGCAACCTGGCATCTTCAAGCTGCAGAAACAATGGGACGATCATTTGCAAAGACATGCAGCCCACAGCTCCAAAATAAGACACTCGTTTTGACAGCACAGCTGCTGAAACTAGTACATGATGCACCAGACTTCCGCACTATACGTATAATAGAGTCCCTTACCGCATACTGAAGCAAACTCAGGATGCCATCGTGCTTATCATGCAGAAAAGCATGCTAAGAAAAGTAATACAGTATTATGTATCAATCTGTCAGATGAGCTTCTGTGTGCTCTCCTCAGCACTCCCAAGGGAGCTGCAGCAGAGAAGAAAAGGTGTGATTGTGACTCATGTGTTTAGCACCTCTTTACCGGAAACAAGAATATACAACATCCTGCATTAAGTCATCTGCTCATCACATCAAGCAATAAGAGCACAAAAACTCATTGCCGCAAATTAGTGTTGGGTATAACTTGATGTTGGCATATCCGTTGTACTACCATGTTTGCCACCTTGTCTGGTTTAGCTCATGATGAGTGTTTACCCAAGAATGTAAAGAAAGTTTGCAGCTGCTGCTAACTGGTAACATGTTACCCTACCACAGGGGTTAGAGTGCATTCCGCTTATCCTACCGTATAGTCTGGAAGAGACAAATGCACTGGCAGTTATTTCAAAACAGATACCAGTAATCAAAGTGGTGATTTGATCTTGGGAAAGGTTCTGACGAGACATGGTTTAAATTAAAATAATTAAACTGCATAGGAAAGAACAACGGTGCGTTAAATAACAATGGCTCTAGAGATATTCAAGTCAATAAATTTGGCATTACATGACTGATGTCCCCAATTCTTAGCAATAAACCAGTGCTGACTGTTTTGTGGTTTCACCTGAAAATGTGGTACCCCATTTATAAGACATGAAAGATGGTTACTTCACATTGTCGGCATATCCTTGTTGCCTAAAGGGATGCTGAACCGAAATTTGAATTTTACGAAATAAGGTAGCGGGAGTGTTCAACGGGGCATCACAAACCCCAAAACACGACTTATAAAGCAATATCTCGAACGGATGGCCGCATTTTTGTAAAAATAGGATGCGATTGAACGAGAATTACGACGTCGCGGACCTTTTTGGCCTTGTTCAAGCGCGCTCTTCTTTTACAAAAATATGACCATCTGTTGGAGATATCGCTTTATGAGTGATGTTGTCGGGTTTGTAGCGTCCCACCTAGCGCTTCCGCGTTATTTTCTGAAATCAAAATTTCGGTTCAGCATTCCTTTAAGCATCAGTGTGATACTGAATTGAATATTTTAGACCTTGTACTCAACTTGCGTTTCTCAAACCTTTGTTACTTCATTGATATGGCTTATTAACTACTGATATGAACCGCTTACAAGATAGAATGCTTGCAAATGACATCCTCAGCTGAGCTAAGAAAGTGAAATTCTGAGATTTTACATGCCAAATCAACGAAGGGCATCTGGCCCGCCTTAGCGGAGGACTGTGGATTAATTTCGACCACCTGCGGATCTTTTGAAGCGCAACCAAAATCACGATTAGACGCCGGTTTCTCCGGGATAAGCCTCCAGCAGATTGCGGGCTCCTTGTCTTCAGTGCCTGCAAATGTGCAAGCATGTGGCTTTAAAGTCCTGCATGAGTGCTCATGCATTAAATAGCACCGATAACAACTTGCGAGATGATGCATAATATTGAAGTCGGCCGATAAAAGCCATCCAACAGGAATTACCAGACAAAAACTAGCAATCACAAGAAGACACT